ATATATATATATAATAGAGACATAATATTAATATAATGAGGTGTGTAGGAATGGCAAAAATACCCGCATCCGCGGGTAAAATCCGCTACGGATAATAAATGGATAGGCTAATTGGGTACCCGCGGATAATGGAGATGGATAATTTTTTACCCGTTTATAAACGGGGCAGGGGCGGGTATGATGATATTCATATCCGCGGATACCCGTTTAACAATATTTCTTAAATATCCTAATTATCCTTGTATCACATAACCCTAAAACTATCCATAGAATTATGTTTGATGTAATTTGATTAATTTTCTAGCTTTGATTATAACAATAAGATTTATGTATTTTAAGTTGTTTATTGTCGTTTGAAATTATAAGATTGAATTATTGTAGTTTTGTGATATGACACTTTCACTTACTTATGTGAGATTGATGTATTTTAAGTTATTGACTATCTTGTATTTTTGTTATTATTTCAACAAAATTAACGTTAAATACAAGTTCAAAATTAACATTAAATTTTTTTTTAATATTTCAATGACATCAAATATAAACTTAAAATTATTTGTAATATAGTTTTTTAATTTTTTAAAAAATTTATAAATATCCATGGATATCCGTGGGTATTCAAGAAATTCATGGATACCCGCTTAATGGATACTCGCACGAATATAAGATAGGTATGAGACCAATTTTCATTCAGCAGGGTGGGGATAGATTTATTATTACCCGCCCCATAAGACTCCATTGCCATCCCTAAGGTAGTGTTTGTTTCCGGGAGAGTACTGTACACGAGCAAAGAAAGGCGTGGAAAGTTTCCGTTTGTTTCCCCTGATTTAGAACGAAAGAAAGGCGAAGAAAGAAGAGGGAAAACACTGTTACTCTCCTCGCACAAAAGAGAAGAAAAGAGGTGAAAGACACGTAAGATTTGTGAAAATCTAAAAATACCCATACCTCACATATGCAAAAACAACAGAGAAACGAAACATAATCGATTATGCTGTATATATACATACAGCATAATCGATTATGCTGTATATATACATTTATGTTATATATATATATACAGCATAATCGATTATGTTATATATATATAACATAATCGATTATATATATAACATAATCGATTATTTATATATATATATATAACGTAATCGATTATATATATATAAAATATTAATATTTAATATATAATAATTTAAATTAAATATAATTATTTAATATTAATATTTAATTTATATATATTTTTAAATATTTAATATTTAATATATAATATATATATT